TCCGTCGTTGCAACATCGTGTATTGTGTTTTGTGTTGTATATTTTATGTCTTTTGTCATTGATCCTCTCTTTTTTTCTTCCTGCTTTTCGTCAGTGTGAATGTAACACGTGTAAACCTGTCATCTCTTTCCACGTGGTGAATATGACGCTTCTCCGTCGACCACCATTCCTGAAGTCCTGTTGAAGTTAAATTTATAAGATAACTCTGTGTCAGCATTGCAAATTAGATTTTATCTCAATGCTTTTTATCTGGTTAAATAAATAATATAAAGTTGTACCGCTCACATGATGAACATTGATGTCTATGTGCCTTATTCTGTATTTGACATAATTGTTTCAATATATTGAGATAGTAAGTCAATATATTGACTTACAGGATTTTTTTTCCTGTGGCGCTTCCATAGAAATGCGCAGTGCATGGACCGAGAAGGACAAACAAATCAACGTAACACTGTAATATTGCAGATCAACAACACAGATACGATTCTAATTTATTCATTTTATATATATTTTATTTATATAATTAAATCGATTTTTTTGTTTGTTTTATCTGAGTGTTCCATGCAGGATCTGAATACCTTGAAGGCCCTGACGGTTTGCCACTGATTGATTGTTGTGCTTTTATTTAGGTCTTAATGTGTGCATATGTATAAATGTGTCTGTTGATTGTGTATATATAGGCATATACATATTTTTATTTATATTTGTATTTTTGTATTCGAGATTGTGGGAAATAGTATTTCGATCTCTCTGTCTGTAACTGCAGTTTGGCTTTTATCCATGTATTTTATACCTGTTGTGTTTATTTTATTATCTTTGCTTTTTAAAATGACTATTTTTAAATGCCTTTTTATAATGTGCTTCCACTGTATTTATTCTTAAATGTCTTTTATTGTATTATGTAAAGCCCTTAGGGTTGCCGTGTGCTGAAAGCCAGGTGTTATATGAATAAACTTGCCTTGCCTTGCCTTGTACACACAAACTGAAAGATTGCCAATAAAGTTCACTTGACTTTGACCAGCACTCGCCAGAGGCAAATAAATCATGACACTAGTTCGCAATTCGTAAGCTGGAGTCAGTGAAGCGTCCTTGCATTTTCCTAAAGAATGATAAGTCCAGGTACATTATTTCCATTTCACCATCACCAGCAATTTGCTAAATCTGGTCCATCCTCCCAAACATGACCTGAGCCTGAGGGGAAAGTGTCACATTCAAATATCTGGGTGTCTCTTCAACAAATGTTTACCTGACCATTCAAATTAATTAAGGATTTCACAAAACAGCTGAACTCTTTCCATGGTTGGTTGTGACTTTCAGATCATAAGTTGACTCTCAATTCAACTGAATGATTTTGGTATCAAATATATATTCACTTTTGAGCGTGTTTATAAAAGACTGGACTATTTGTTTTGTTTATATTTTGGAAGATAAATTACTCCTCTGTTTTATTTGGTTATTGTGTTAATTTCCCCAAAACTACATCCCATTCCTATTAAACCCATTTTTTTGTAAGTCAGATGAGTTACACATAACCTCCTGCATACAGTGCATTAGGCTGACCTTGTCAAAGGTCGTGTTGCCTAAAAATGTACTTTATTCCAGATGTTGTAATTTATGCAGCTACTGAGATTTGCAAAAAACATGTTAATTTGTTTCAGTGTAGAAAAAAATACTTGTTATGCTTTGATTGCTTTGATTGCTTTGTTTGTTTGTTTGTTTGTTTGTTTGAACGTGCTTTTATTTCGGCAGAGCTAATTTCACCAGCCATCCATCCATCTTCTCCCGCTTATCCGGGGTCGGGTCGCGGAGGTAGCAGTTCCAGCAGAGAGCC